TATCAAGGCCATAAAGAAAAACTTTTTCGGCCGATCTGAAGTTTCAGGCCGAGGCGTAGCCGAGGCTTACAAATCAGATGAGGCCGAAAAAGTTCTCTTTGGCCGAGGTACACACAACGTTTTTTAGGCGGCCATACACACAAATTATTGGCTTTGTAAGTAATTTTGGGGTTACAAAATATTTTTCATTGTTGGAGGTGTAATAAAGGTGGAGTTCAACTACCTAGCAGTCTTTTGATTTTTTCACTTAAACAAGTGCTGATCAAAAACGCAAGGCCAAGGACGCAAAAAAAGTGACAAGCCAGTCCAAAAAAGTGACAAGTGAGTCCAAAAAAGTAATTTTGACATTTCAGTACAAAAAAGTGACACTTCATGGAGCTGCATATAAACGTAAAACGACTAGATTTGTAATGGCTGCCCAAAAAACTAGTTTAAAGTTATTTAGACGTAACCAAATAACACTGCATCGCCCCTGAAGCACAATCAATGTATTTTTGAATGTGAATTTTGAGTTGTATGTTTTTATTTATTTTAAATTTAAAACTTTTAATAAGGATATAAAAGATCAAATATAATAATAATAATAATGTAACAATATTAACGTTACTCCGTCCTAAGACTTTCGAAACTGAAAAACATTGCGATATGGAGAACTGAATCCGGAAATTTTTACATTCAGAGTAGAGCGTTACATTTTTACTTCCCGAGCGTAAGCAAAGGAAGTATTGTAATCGAGTCCGTCGGCCGACTCTCTACTTTTACGTTTTCTCGATCTTTCATGACCCCTAGAAGACGAAGAAATAGGTCTCCCATTTCCGTATGTCTGTCCGTCTGTCCGTCTGTCCGTCTGTCCGTCTGTCCGTCCGTCTGTCTGTCCGTCTGCCGTCCCGGATTTTTATTAGACAGATAATCTCCGAAAGTACTCGGCCGATTGTTGTGAAATTTTGTACTTATATTAAGAATATCATGTAGATGGTAAAACGCTAACCAAAATTTGTCTAATCATCCCCACCACTAATGCGATGACGTCACTTCAAAATTGTACATAGTAAATGGGTTTTCAATTGTATAAAATAACATAGTCCTACACATGTAGTTTACAACTCTGAATCGACTTTTCACCCGAAAGGTCCAGATTTTTGGAAAAAAAATCAAAATTATAAAACAACATTTTGAAATTGAATTTTTAATCTGCTAACCAGAATGCTTTGAAATGTTGCAGATGTTTTAAGGCTATAAAGAGCATCATAAATCTTTAGTCAAAAAATATTTGCTTATCCCCTCCAAAAATTTGATGACGTCAGCTCAAAAGTTTGTGGAATAAATCATATCTAAAATGTACAAAATATGATGAGTCTGTACTTGTGATCTATCACTCCATTCATATTTTTTGGATTTGCATATACAGGGTGACTCAAAAAAATTAATGAATGCGTAAATATATTTTATTGATTTAATCAGGAACTACAAAACCGAATGCTCTGAAATCTTGCAGATGTTTTAAGGTCATAAAGAGCATAATAAATGTTTAGTCAAAATATATTTGCTTATCCCCTCCAAAAACTTGATGACGTCAGCTCGAAAGTTTGCCGAATAAATCACATCTAAAATGTACAAAATATGATGAGCCTGTACTTGTCATTTATCACTCCATTTATTTTTTGGATTTGCATATACAGAGTGACTCAAAAAAATTAATGAATGCGTAAATATATTTTATTGATTTAATCAGGAACTACAAAACGGAATGCTCTGACATCTTGCACATGTTTTAAGGTTATAAAGAGCATAATAAATGTTTAGTCAAAATATATTTGCTTATCCCCTCCAAAAACTTGATGACGTCAGCTCGAAAATTTGCCGAATAAATCATATCTAAAATGTACAAAATATGATCAGTCTGTACTTGTGATCTATCACTCCATTCATATTTTTTGGATTTGCATATACAGGGTGATTCAAGAAAATAAATGAAAGCGTAAATTTATTTTACTGATTTACTCAGGAACTACAAAACCGAATGCTTCGAAATCTTGAAGATATTTTAAAATTATCATAAGCATGGTAAATTTTTGATCAAAACGTATTTGGTCGTCCCCCCTAAAAAACTTATGACGTCACCACAAAATTTTGCTGAATAAATCCTATCTAAAATGTACAAAATATGGTGAGTGTCTTCTTGTGATTTATCATTCCATTCAAATTTTTTCGATTTGCATATACAGGGTGACTCAAAAAAATTAATGAATGCGTAAATTTATTTTATTGATTTAATCAGGAACTACAAAACCGAATGCTTTGAAATCTTGCAGATGTTTTAAGGTTATAAAGAGCATAATAAATTTTTAGTCAAAATATATTTGGTTATCTTCTACAAAAAACTGATGACGTCAGCTCAAAAGTTTGCCGAATAAATCGTATCTAAAATGTACAAAATATGATGAGTCTGTACTTGTGATTTATCATTCCATTCATATTTTTGGATTTGCATATGCAGGGTGACTCAAAAAAATTAATGAAGGCGTGAATTTATTTTATCGATTTAATCAGGAATTACAAAACCGAATGCTTTGAAATCTTGGGAATATTTTAAAGTTATTATAAGCATGGTAAACTTTTGTTCAAAATGTATTTGCTCATCCCTCCTAAAAAAATTGATGACGTCACCCTTAAATTTTGCTGAATAAATCCTATCTAAAATGCAAAAAATATGATGAGTTTGTACTTGTGATTTAACATTCCATTCATATTTTTTAGATTTTCTTAAGAGGTGGTTCAAAAAAATTAATGAAGTCAATTTATTTTATTGATTAAATTAAAGGCAACACTTATTATTAGTATTGCACCCCAACCAACCCAATTTGGTAGACACAAAATTTGTTAAAGGAAAAACTCGGTTGAAACATAAGGGTAGCACGCTTATTTACATCGACTTTAACATTACAGACCTGCATTTGTTTTATGCGTTCACTTGGTTCCGCGAATGTGAAATAGACATGTTTATAATCAACCAATTGTGAATTTCACCGTCAAGAATTAAAATAAAACCCAATGTTTTATATAATAAGCGGAAGTCGAAGCAATAAAACCGATGGTCGTTTTGTTTACAGTTTCTCTGTTTGACTCTCACGTATGCTGTTACGCCTGTCATCTTAAATTAAGAATGTTTATACATACACGATTTTCAGTTGCCTCTGATACGTATACGTGAGTAAATTGTTTCGTTATTTTATTGATTATTACAAATCAATATTCAAAACGACCCAATTCATTTTCCCGAAAATTTGAGAATATAATAATTTTATTCTTAGTATTACACTACATCTATCCCAACTGATATACGTGTCCTTGCAAAAATGTTGATGACGTCATCGCAATTTTTTTTTAAATTCCCACTACAAAAATGTAATGAGAAAAAAAACACAATAGGCATGCAGTCGTCAAGTTTCCGACAGCGAGGGAAGTACTGTCTAAACTCTTTAGACCAATTTTTTATATTATAAAGATATTGATATTGCGTTTTCTTCAAAGTAGCTATGCTTATAGAACAACAGAATACTAAAACCATAATAAAAAATTGGTGTAATGATATGAGACAGAACTTCCCTCGTCCCTGAAGTACAAACAAAATTCAGTTCTTTAGGAAAAAAAAAACAACGTAGATAATACCAATTACAGTGCAAGAAAAAAAGAACAAGTCGCCCATGAGGACATCAAACCCGCGATCTCCGCGTTAGTAGCTCCTGCTCTGATTAATTGAGCAATGAATAGTTGAAAAACGTTGTTTTTTTTATAAAAAGTAATTATACAATTGTGTTTTTTTTTTGCGAAAATGTGCATGCCAATGGTAAAAACTCAAGGCGGATTCATAAATAACAAGTATAGGTTTATGTTATTTTATAAAATTTAAATAGCATTTACTATACAAAATTTTGAGGTTACGTTACAAATTTTAGTTAGCGTTTACCATCTACACAATATTCGTAACATACATATAACATTTTACAAGAATCAGTCGAGTCGTTTCCGAAATAATTTGTCTAATAACATATCGACACAGACAACAGAAAGACGACAGTTAGACAACGGACAGATGACAGACAGAGCATAAATAAACAAATTTTGGTCAGTGCTTTATATAACAATCTCAAGATATACCTAAACATTTAACGTGATTAGTTCAGAACCAGGAGTTTATCAGATTGGCTATTCAATAAAATGAGAAATGAGATCTACATTTTTGTGGTGTTCATAGTGTACAAGCTGTGAAAACATGAAATTAGATTTTCGTCAAAGCTTACGCACAAAGGGCAAAAATTACGAAGTATTAGCTACCGTAAATTCTTCCTAACAGAACTTTTTATTCTTGAAATTCTAAGGTATTTTTTAGTTGGGTGCGATAAGGTGTTTTCTAATCACAATAGATTCTCCCTCTGTCTTAATTTATATTTAAAACAAAACGTTGCTTTTGTTGTTAAGATTTTTATGTTCATTATATTATGACAGTTTTTGATTTTTTCTTTCTTTAAGTTGGTACTACTGAGATTTGTAAAGTTCTTTCGACTAATCTGTCAGACTACAAACTGAATATGAAATTAATAAATACCAACTTCCCATAATTTTTTAGATGAGTACTAGGGTTGATTTTAGCCATCATTTCATCAAAGGGGGAAAATATTACCGTCGTACACAATCCCTTAATTTCCGGTTACGCTTGATAAAATATTCAGCTGTAGAGTGTTTTTTTTTTAAATCTTGACATGCATTAAGGTACAATACTGCTAATAAAGCTTTGCAGTTTCTTTAAATTGTACTAAATAGGCAATAAAAAGGTCTTGATTTTGACTTATATTTGATACTCCAACATAGTTAACTAATAGTCATAAATCCGTGGATTTTTTTCGAAATGAGACATTTAATGTGAGCTTCTAATAAGCTTAACTAAAACCTAAGTAAGTTTCTAATGCCTAGCCAAATTCTAGCGAAAACTAAATACTTACATGCTGCCTCAACCTGGGACAGTTCGGATGGTGCCTCTTCGCATAATTAAGCCTAATCGTCTCCCCCGAAATCATCTTCCGCTCCCTCCTTTGATCCCTCCTCACCCTGTACAGTCTTATTTTCTTCAGCAGTCTTCTCTTGCCCCTCCTCCACAAATGGGCGATGTACTTAACGATTTCCGCGTAGCAGCTCGTGGGCTCGCTGTTATTGGTCGACGAGGCCAAGGTACTGCTGCTCTGGAACCGCGCGCGTTCCAGACGCATCCGTTCCATCTCCCGCTTCTTCGTTTCGGAGAACTGGGTCGCGATAACGACCAGGCAGAGGTTTATCATGAAAAAAGAACCGATCTGCAAAGAAAATTAATAAGTGTTTGCGGGCGACGCTCAGAGGCTGCGGTCGGGGCGTTGTTAATTAGGGAAACATTCCGAGGAAAAATGACCGCGATTTTTCTTGCGTTTTTGTAATGAAATTAATTGCTTCATCAGTTTCAAAGACAAAAGGTCGAGTGGAAGGGTTATGAGAGGGAAGAGAATGAGGAATTTGGTGGACTTGAATGGATTCGGTTTTATGGAAGTGGGTCGTTCACGTCAAGTGAAATATTTTAGCCAAGTTGGTTCAAGGATAAAAATTTGTGTTGGCCATTTGTATTAGAAAAAATAAATTATAGAGAGGGGTTATTACTTTTTTGGATGATTTATGCGTGTTTTCTTTCCACAGACAAGAGTTCTTTCATCAGTAAGATTCTTGTAAATACTAAAAATCAAAAAGAGATTTTATTTTTTAATATGCTTTTATTTTCTCCTTTAAATAAGGTTTTCGTTTGACGTAATTTCCGCAACAAAAGTATAATTTTTTTCATTTTTCCGGTTCGATCTTACTGTTTCTTAAAAAACATTGTAACGTTTCAAACGTAGCTCTCTAATTTTTTTTCCGATGCTGGAGAAGTTTATTTACAATAAATTCAGTGCAGAATTTTTTATATGTTGTATCTCAACATGCTCATCTGCCTCTTTGATATTATAATGAACGATCCAAATCCACCCGACTGCGCCATTTTTGCGTCTAATGAAGGATGTTTAACAGAAAGCGAACTGTTTACTTACTACAATTAATAAAACAAAGTAAATCCAGTCCCAAAAGCTGTGAGCGTCCTGCACGTAATACATTATATCCGTCCACCCTTCCAGCGATATCACCTGAAAAAAAAATTACCCTCGTAAACCCCAAATTTATTCTCGTGCGTAAATAATTCGTCCACAAACCGAATTCTTGGGAAAACTCACCAAAAATATGGACACCCATGCCAGTCCAATATTGTCGAACGAGATGGTTCCCTGGAACGGATTGGGTCCCCTCTCCTGGCACTCCTCATAATACTGGTTCCAGTTAACGCACGCCGTGTCGTTGTTGATATACTGAGGATCTAGTTTTTCGCTGATGTTCAAAGTGCACTCGATTGTGCCGTTGATGTAATTCGGAAGGCCTTTGCACCTGTGCATTCCAGATTGTTCGTCTTTGCTGCAAATGTACTCCTGATCCTGCTGCAGCTTGTAAAAACGGGATATGTCGCTGGAAAACAAATACTTTTAAAGGCGAAAGTCCCAAAGGAGCTTGAGCTCTGGCTAGAACTCGTGTAGTTTGTGTGGTCGGAAAGGTAATGAGATAAATTGGGCTAACTGTTGGCTCGTTCATATGCGGGAACATTTGCTTAGCAATTGAATTGGAACTGTTTTAGGGGATGTAGTCGACCGTTGGAAGGCTTTTGTGAATAAATAAAATATCGCTGTGTCGCAGAGCTGCGTTTGAGGACGGCTTACGTACCTTTGAGGCTTGATGGGGCTGCGAGTGAGGTGGTTTTACGTAGTTAATTAGTGGAAGTGGTTATGGGTTTTGTTGGGGTCAAAGGAGCGCTCTCGATTTGAATATTCTCGAAGTGCGAGTAATATTTTAATTAGGTGCTAATCTCAGGATGAGGGTTATTAGGCGATTAGGAACGGGAGAATTTAAAGATGTATAGGATTTCATACAAATTGTGCATAACATATATTTTTTAAACAAAAGCTAAACCACTGAAATTTTTTCTTGTTTCACAGAGCATATCTAACAAGAAAAACAAAACATTATCTAAAGCTCTCTTAGCATTATGGACTTTCGTCTTTTGATACGCTTAAAGCTCGAAAAAATATATATTTTTAAAATGTCTAATGTAAGAGATTGTTGACAGAATTTAGATTTTCTTGTGGTATTAATTATGACGAGAAAAGTTAGTTAACGCGAATTTTATTAAATTTTGGAAAAAAATAAGTAAACTTTGCTAAGGCAGATTCTAAAAAGCAAAAATTACGTCCATTTCTAGAACATTTGGACGTGAAAGTTATATTTCAGAAGAATTTTGTTTGAGGGCCAACCAATACATAATAAGTTTGTGGTAACATTGGTAAACCTGTTGGCCTTACTTCCTGTTGTCAAAACTGACATGGTTGACAGTGACATTTAATTTACGTCAAAATTTATCATTGGTTGTTATTAAAATGTTTGACAATAGTAGGACAAGAAACTTCTCAGAATTGGATCATCTTATTGGCAACTCAAACAATTCAGTTTGTTGATTTTTAAATTTTTTGATTTTTTAAATTATACATTTTTCGATTTTTCAGTTTTTCAACTTTTCTATTTATCCAACATTTCAATTCTGGGAATTTTTCAATTTCAGATTTTTTAATTTTTCGATTTTGAAAATTTTTGATTTTTCGATTTTCAATTTTCCAGTTTTTCGATTTCCCACTTTTTCGTATTTCCGTTTTGTAATTTTCAATTTCTCGACTTTTCAGTTTTTCGATTCTTCAATTATCCGTTTCTCAATTATCTGTTTCTCAATTTTTCGATTTTTAAAATTTTTTATTTTACGATTTCTCGGTTTTTGAATTTTTTGGTTTTTCGACGTTTCAATATTCAATTTTTCGATTTTTTTATTCGATTTCTTGAATCTTGGTCTCTCAATTTTTAACATTTTTCCACTTTTCGATTTTTCAAGTTTTCGATTTCTCAATTTTCCAACATTTCAATTCTGGGAATTTTTCAATTTCAGACTTTTTAAATTTTTCGATTTTGGAAATTTTTGATTTTTCGATTTTTCAATTTTTCGATTTCTCGGTATTTGGATTTTTCGGCTTTTCGGCCTTTCGATCTTTCAATATTCGATTTTTAGATTTTTTGATTCGTTTTCTTGACATCTTGGTTTTTCGATTTTAAGAATTTGTACACTTTTCGTTTTTTTAAGTTTTTGTTTTCTCAATTTTCTAATTTTTCAATTTTGGAAATTGCCAATATCGGATTTTTCAATTTTTCGATTCTTCAATTATCTGTTTTTCAGTTTTTCGATTTTTAAAATTTTTGTTATTACAATTTTTCGGTTTTTGAATATTTCGGTTTTTCGATTTTTCAATATTCAATTTTTCGATTTTTTGATTCGATTTCTTGAATCTTGGTCTTTCGATTTTTAACATTTTTCCACTTTTCGATTTTTCAAGTTTTCGATTCCTCAATTTTCCAACATTTCAATTCTGGGGATTTTTCAATTTCGGATTTTTTAATTTTTCGATTTTGGAAATATTTGATTTTTCGATTTATCAATTTTTCGATTTTTTAGATTTTGAATTTTTCGATTTCTCGGTACTTAGATTTTTCGGCTTTTCGATTTTTCAATATTCTTGACATCTTGGTTTTTCGATTTAAATTTTTTTTTCACTTTTCGATTATTCAAGTTTCAATTAATTTCTCAATTTTTTAACTTTCCAATTTTTCGATTTCCCACATTTTCGTTTTAGAATTTTTCAATTTCTCGGCTTGTCTTGGATTCTTGAATTATCCTCTTTTCAATTACGTATTTGATTTTTCAATTTTGGAATTTTTGATTTCTGGGTTTTTGGAATTTTTGATTTCTCGGTTTTTGGATTTTTCGGCCTTTCGATTTTTCGATTCTTTGATTAGTTTTGTTGATATCTTGGTTTTTCGATTTTTCAATTTTTCGATTTATCAATTTTTTTCGTTTAAAATTTTTCAATTTTCTGATTTTGGATTATTCGATTCCTCAATTTTTCGATTTTGCAACTCTACTCGACTTTTCGATTTCTTGATTTCTCGATCCTTTGATGTTTCATTTTTTTATACTTCAGTTTCTCAATTTTTCAATGTTTCTATTTTTCAATTCTCCGGTTTTTCGATTTCCCAATTTTTCGTCATTTCTGTTTTGGAATTTTTCAATTTGTCGATTTTAGTTTTTCGATTCTTTAATTTTCCGATTTTTTAATTTTTGGGTTTAAAAAATTTTTCAATCTTCTCGATATTTTGAGATTCCAATTTTTCGATAATTTAATTGTTTAATTTTTTAAGTTTGAGATTTTTTGGTTTTTTAATTTTGTTTTAAAATTTTTAATTTTCCAGTTTATTGATTTTTCGATTTCTGGATTTCTCAATTTTTCATTTTAATTTTTCGATTGCTCGATCTTTCAGTTTTTTTAGGCATCCAGATTTTTGCAAAAAAATCCAAACAACCGCGCGATAGACGTTGGTTAGATTACCTTATGCTGCATTTTTACTTTCCATCCAGCGAATGGCTACTTTTATGTTTTCTTGACGTTTCATGACCCCAAAAGTCGTGTATTTCCGTCTGGGTATCTGTCATCTATTTGTCGTTTGTATCGATTTTTATTAGGTAGATAATCTCCAAAACTATTAGACTGATTGTGGTTAAATTTTAGACTTATGTTATCTTCAGATGGTAAAACGCCAACCAAAATTTGTCCAACCATCCCCACCAACAATGTGATGATCTCTCTTTAATTTTTTTTAGTACACAGTCAACATCATTTAAATTTTATAAATAACATTCCATTGTACTTGTGGTTTATGAATCCGCCTTGATATTTTACCCGAAGCGTCAAAAAAACTGTGGCAGGTTCAATTCCGCTTTATGGGCTTTTCTTTTTTTCTTACACTGATACTGCTATTATATATATATGTATGTAGGGGTTATCATAAATAAAATTTTAGTAATTATACTATTTTTTTATTAGTTTCCAAGATAAAATTTTGTATAGAAAAAGATGGTTATGTTTAAAAATTCACAGAGGTTTAGAATTTTCCAAAAAACTTTTAGTCACCGTGTCTTAATAAAGTGTAAAAGATCGAACAAACTTTAAACTTATTTACACGGGTGAGTAGTCATATAGTGAGGGAAAATTTGAATTGCGACAGGAACTCAAATTTGCGCACGAATTCAAATTTTCCCACCAAAAAATGAGCCAGAACCCACACTATATAACTACTCAGGTGATGATTCAATTTGTAGTTGTCGGTTTTTTCATGATTTTCACTGGAGACATCTGTATTTTACAACATTTTTATACCTCAACTTGTCTCTTAAATTAAAACAATATTCAGTTTTTTATGTTAGTCAAGGCAAGGAAACTTAAAAGTTTTTTTTTGAGAATTTTTAATTAAAAATATTTTTTACACTAAAATGCACATGTTTTGAAATATACAGGGTGGTACGTTTAAAAAATAGTGTAATATTTAGTGTGCTATTTAATAAGTTTTAAAATTTTGACGATTCTGAGTCAAAAATACCAAAAAACAAATGTGAAGACAAATCACAACGGTAGGTATTATTTTTGTAAGAAATAGATATTTAGTTGTTATGTGTCAGTTGCAGTGATTTAAAACTCGAACGGGACCGCAACAAATGCTCAACTGTGTTCCATTCTAGCCTAACATTAGTAATTACGGATTAAAATACATTCATTCATCAACAAAAAAAATATCACTGATTTTTTATCATTATCTTCATAAAAATTTTAATAATTTATTAGATACATCACTACATTATATACCAAAATCGGGTAGTGGACGTCGTACGTTGTTAGTAAAAAAAATGTGATTTTTATAGTATGGTCGTGATGTCGTGGAACCGAAAAAACACCAGACATGCGATTTTCCGTCGTGATTTATTTCGACGTCAGATTTAACTGATCACCCGATACATACAAAACCTTCTTTCGCTGTCTCACTATCTGTTGTCTAATCACCACACGTCCCGACTTTGAAAAGTCCCCAACCAAGAAAAAACCGTCAAATTTGTATCACAACTGCCAGACATTCATTACAAGTTACGTCTCGTTGAAATTCATGAAAAATGCTTGCAGGTCGCTGAAAACTGACGCGAGGGATTTTAAAGCTATTCATAACGAAAGTAAAGTTTTGCTTGACATTTCCTCACATGTATGTACAGAAAGTTAGTTCTGATTTAAAATTGGCTGCTTGTGTACACGAGCTTTTCAAAATAAATTTCAATTAAAAGCGACAGAAAGCGTTGTAAATTCTCCCTGGCGCTATGTAAAAAAATACAACGACGGGTTATGTTAAACTGTGTACCTATACTAAAGTTCAGAGTCGTGTAGGTGTGTTTGCCAGAACTGCGAAAGCTCTCAACGGTTTACTGCAACTAATTAATGCATTAAAATAATGATGAGCGTTTCCGAAGATTACAGATAACGTTGTGCTAATACCAC